CATTTACTAACATTGTGTAACATTGTAATATGTTCATTATCATTATTAGATACTTAAATTATTCTATGTAAGTGTTATCATGAACTTTCCTTTTATCCCTATACCATACAAGGTGGGCATCACCAATGGTGTCAAACTAACTTTTCTGTTTAACTTATTTTTTACCATAGACAAGGGAAAAAGCTTTACTTGAAGTCGTGACCTCATTAGGTGCTATGTATATGGATAGATGGATTGATACTAGTCGGTAGATGGCAGCACTTGTGCTAGTTGGGCTAGATACAAGTATTTACCATTGACTTGACATGTGTCACTTAGTCTATTGATTTACCATATTCGTTCTGTTGGATTAAAGTAAAACCGCATTTGCATTGAATTTGATGATGTTCAGATTGTGTTTGAAACTTGATGATAATCAGAAGTGTTTGAAACTGGATGTTGTTCAGATTGTGTACACATGAACTTTAATAGGACCACTGAAACAATAAGTCAATGTTTAAGATTCTTTAAAATTATCTCAATGAGAATTTAGCCTGTTAACCTATAGTTAAACTACACTTCAGCAAGATTTCAAGCTATATAGCAAATCTCATAATTTGCAACTTTTTCATTATTTGATAATTTAACCCATTATTCTTTATTGCTGATTCAAACATGACCGTGCTCTATTCGAATTTCTCAACCAATCAGAATGCAGCATAGCCAATATAGAACGTTCTCTAATTCTCCATAGATGCACGACCATGCTCTATTCAATCTGCAATTTGCATTGTTTTGAGTGACGTCACATCTCAGCTGCACATCTGGGGCTCTGTCCGGGGATAGCATGCGTATTCTTCCTTCATGCCCGTTCCACAGACACGGCTTTTACTAATTTTTATGTTTGAATCGGAATAAATAATGATAGGCCATTCAATATGGTGAAATTCAGCACTCGTTGGACAGAATGTTAGTACAAATGCACTCACCTTCGGTTCGTGCTTTGTACAACATTCTGTCCAACTCGTGCTGAATTTCACCATATTGAATGGCCTATCATTATTTATTCCTTAATTTAAAAATTGCAAGGAATTCAAATGACCTAGGGAAGCCAGTGATATGAATTGGCCTTATTCATTGAGTTACATTAAAATGGAAAATTGTGAAGAACAAGAGAACTGTTCCACGGCTTCACAGGAAATATGGAAGCAAAGTCAACAAGGGATGTGGGAACTAGGCTGTTAACATATAGAGATTTAGAACTCTCCAGGGAAGTGTCTCTATTTGGTATAAAATACACAGGTCTATTCATGCACACCATTTTAAATATGAATCAAAATTAGTAATATCCATGTTTCTGGTGAAAGCATTAATTGAAAGAGACAAACATCCTACCCCAATGGTATAAAATATAAGGAAGTTCGAAGCAGTAAAAAGGTATTACCATTTTAGATTTGATTGAACAAATTGAATCAGAGGCAATTTTTAAATTTCGATATTTTAAAAGAGGCTCTCTTGGTTAGATGGGAGAATTAGCTGCATGTTAAAGGTGCCGCTTTGTTCAGTTTATAACAAAATTGATATTAAGCCCGAAACAGTAAGAAATGTTAAGCAAATATTTCATTCTATAGAGGGCAATACCTGTTCATCTTTCAATGATTTTTGCAATATGTATTGCCCGCAGCCCGTAGGGCAATGGTAATACATGGTGCAAAAATCATTGAAAGTGCAGTTGTCAGAATCCCCAGGCGGGCAGTACGCTGGACAATACGTCTTTTAAATATGGAAATAATTCAGGGAGCTGTGAAATACGCTGGTATTTTTAGTCACATGGTTCTGAATTAGCCAATCAAATCACACGATTTATAGCAATGATGCAATAATTAGTGGTACTTCCATTAACACCCGTTTTGTAGAATAAGATTCTGATTCTCGTATTTGGTATATATATGAATTAGACAAAGGCAAATCCAGTCGAACATCTTGTTGAGCATCAAACAAAGGTACAAGCTATATATCATTTCTCAAAATGGCCACTTTACTGAAGAAATTGTCAAAAGATTATATGTATCATGTTTTAATGTATTTACGTTTAAATATAGCTGTCTTAATAAGTACACATGATGAAAATACAGGCACAAACAAAATGCATACTTTCTGAAACCCTGCGTTTGGATATTGATAAATTGAATGATATTGGCTAAAAACTTCTGTCAGAATTGAAACAATATTTCCCCAAGAAAAGTCAACATTTCAAAACAACAGCAATAGCTAGAACTATCCTATTTAGATGTTTACTTGACAGTATGGAAAATTGGGGAAGCCTGACAGAGAATCATAACAGATAGAGTTAGAAAGATTTGATAAAGAAAATGGAGTTTTGGTGTGGGAGGGGGGGGGGGGGGCGTGTAATTGTATACTTGTTTATAAAATTGATAAAATGACATATTCTAGACAAGGATAGGCATTTGCCATAATAAACTATGAGGGATAATGACTCATAAACTTACACAATGGAGATTTGGGGTAGTAATATGGAACATAAGTCATATGGAAACTGTAACCTTATAAGATCTTGTCCAGTATTTCAGTCATACCTGATTATAAAGGACCATTGATGTTACAGCATCAGGGCATATTACATATAATATTTAATCATGACCATCATTTCTACTGTGCCAAAATCATTCAACCAATTTTAAAATGGAATACGAGAACAAGATTTCTTATTTTAGGTTATATTCATATGTCTAATAATATTTGATATTAAACATATTAACTTTTATTGTTTTTATACACTAAACAGATTTGTTTAGATATTATTTTAAGTTTTAACATAATAAACCACTTTCCAGGTTGAAGGAATCACTAAAGGTACAGCATTTCAGAAATGTGTAAATTGTTTATATTTCATTATTTTGTGAAATACTAAAAGGAGTTTTACCCGTACCTTGTTGACCATGAGTCAATGAATGCATTATGTAATATCTGCAAAATGATGCACTATGCAATTCATACATGGAATAATTTATTTTGCCATATTGGAATCAAGTATTTTCGTTAATCCATTGGATAGATCATGCATTACCTGATGTTGATAATAGAATCAGTTAGTCAATTGTAAGACACCATTTATCCGAGAAAATCTTAGTTATGTATTAAGGCAGGGCATAACATTTCACATATCATTTATTCATGTTTACTACATCTATGGTTCCAATGTCATTTAAGCCTGATTTGGTGCAAATGTCAAAGCATAACATCAACTCTAAAGTAGTTTAATTCAATGAAAATTAAAAATATCAAAATCGACAATTACTGTCCGCCATCTTAGATGCGAAGGTTACGGCCGTTACCTTCGCTTGGTACTGATCAGTGACGGTCCATTACTTTTCAATTGCATAAAATGGCTCTAGCCCTGACAAATGTATTAATCAATTTTAACTCATAGCTCTTGATCAATGAAACTATTTATATTCTAGGTTCAAGTCATTGAATACGACTTTGACAAGCTAAAAAGACTAAGGATCTCTATGACTTAAAAGTTAATTTGACCATTAATGACCTATGATAGGGAAGGGTCATGATAACACTTATATAAAATATTTAAAGTATCTAATAATGATAATGAACATACTACAATGTTACACAATGTTAGTAGATGCTAATTAAATGTCAATTGTTGTTAGTGTAATAAGTATTTTTCATTTAATGCTGCAACAATTACACAAGTACCAAAAAGTGCCACGCCCACTTTTCCCTAAAAGCAGTTGTGTGTGAGTACATTTGATAAATATTATTAATTTATGAGATCATTATATCAAGTTTTTAGTGCTTTAGTGTGAATACATACATATTAATTCAACTTTTGACAAAGTTGCAGCCACAAAATCCAAACAGATTTGCAAATATTTCACTTTGAGAACTTAAGGACACATTTGGGACGGGGTCAAATTGAGAAGATTGTGAGATATAAATACTGTTTCCATGGTAACCATATAAGTCCGAGATTGGAAATTTCTGGCACTGACTAACCATGGCATGCCCTACCCACTATAAAACGATGAATATCTGATATGCATTAGTATTATTTTTATTGGGTGGTATTAAAGTACCCCCAAGGTTTTGTTGGGGTAGGGGTATAAATTGGCCTGAGGGCCTTCTGCCACCCCTACATAAAGTCCAACTACCCAGAAAGTGTCTATTATAATCATACAAATTGTTTGAAATATGTTGGAATGTGTGACCTTCCATGAAAAGCAGGATCCATTTCTAGAGCACTTCTACAGAATAGTCCACAGTCTACTAATAAGTGGCCCATTCATCAATACAGTGCTGAATATAGGTCAACAAGATACTAGTGTACATATAAATGTAATAATACCTATAGCTAGGTCTGAATATTAAACTCCAGCCAAATCACGGGTAGTATCTAAAGCCCCGCTATGATTGAAAAGTCGCAAGCAAGTTCCCGCTGAAATCGCGAGCATAGTCCTGTTTATTTGTATCACTTTGGAAAATGAACCAAAAGGATGAAAATACTTAATACCGTTCTTTGATACTCCAGCAAAACTTTGAAAACAGATATATTTGACAAAAAATGACATGAAAAAATGATTATTTTTTACTTGCATGAAGGAAAGGGGCGTCAACATGCACGTTTGCATAATTTACTGTTCATATATTACCTTTATCGTTAAAATAAAGGCAATAAATACGATTTACATACTCCATAATAAATATCGGATCAAGATGGTCTGTATTGATAAGTAACTGGACCATGACACCTGCCATGGGGGTCGAAATACATTATTAAAGGTGTTCCAGTGGCCCCGCTGAAAACATGAGGAGGCCCCGCTGAAAACATGAGGAGACCCCGCTGAAAACACGTGCAAATTTCACGACTACCCGCTTCGATCACGAGGAAAGCTTCATCATTATTCCATGAATATAGTGAGCTTCTTTATATGAATGTACACGATAACGTATTAATGACAATCACATAACATATCATTCTATGGCAACATCACAAATATTTCTACTTCAACTTCAGGGAGTCTAATCCATCTGTCAGCGGCATGATCAAATTTTTATATGTAAATATACTTTGTACATTTCGGAGTTAAATGTACATTCTACATAATTCACTATTCCAAGGATTATACTTCTGAGGACACATATATTGCATTAGTTTCTTTGTCCGACCGTTCATTCGTGCGTGCATTCGACCGACCGTTCATTCGTGCGTGCGTTCGTCTGACCGTGCGTTCGTCCGACGGTCCGTTCGTTCATTCGTGCGTTCATCCGACCGATTGTTCGTTCGTGCGTGCATCGCCCAACCATGCGTTCGTGACAGCGTTCGTCCGACCGTCCATTCGTTCGTTCGTGCGTGCATCCGTTCGTGCGATTGTCCGTCCGTTTGTGTGCGCATGCGTTTGTCTGACCGTCCGTTTGTGCCTGCTTTCGTCTGACTGCCCTTCATGGGTTCGTCCGTCTAGGCATCCGTTCGTCCGTGCGTGCTTTCGTTCAACCGTCCATTCATGCGTGCGTTCGTCTGTTCGTTCTTTTTGCGTTCGTTTGTGTGTTCGTTCGTGCGTGCGTTCATTCGTGCGTTTGTTTGTAACTACGTTCTTGCGTGCGTGGGTTCGATCTTTTGTAAATTGTTTTCTTCTATCTTTCCTTCATGCGTTCTTTTGGCCGCCTATCCGTCCGTTTGTTCATTCATTGTTTTTTCGGCTGTTCTTCTGTCCATCCGTGCGTTCTTTCCTCGTTCGTTTGCTCGTTTGCAGGTTTTCATCAAAATTTGTCTTTCCACTGCCATATGAAAGAATGTAAATAATCAAGAAAGCAAGCAAGGACGTGAGGAAGTAAACAAGCAACAAAGTAAGTAATTGAGTAAGCAAGCAAGTAAAGAAGGAATGGAGGAAGTAAATCGAGGAAGTGAAGGTGGGAGTAATATAAGTAAGCAAGGAAGGAAAAAAGGAAGGAAGGAGGGAAGGAAGGAAAGAAGCAATGAAGGAGGGAAGGAAGCAAGGAAATCGAGGGAGCAAGGAAGGAACGATGCGAGTAAAGAAATAAGCAGGGAAGCTAGCAAGTAAGGAAGCGAGGAAGAAAGGAAGCCAGGAAGCAAAGAAGGAAGGAAACGAGGAAGCAAGGAAGGAAGGAAGCAAGCAAAGAGGCAAAGAAAGGAAGAAAAAAAGCAAGGATGTAAGTAAGGAAGGAAGGAATAAGGCGAGAATGCAAGGAAGCAAGGAGGGAAGAAAGCAAGGAAGAAATGAAGCGAGAAAAGAAGGACACGAGGAAAGAACGAAAGAAACGAGGAAGCAAGGAAGGAGGAAAGGAGGAAGTGAGGAAGGAAGGAAGCAAGGAAGGAAGGAGGGAAGTGAGGAAGGAAGGAAGCGATGAAGCAAGGAAAGAAGGAAGCGAGGAAGCAAAGAAGGAGAAAAGAAGGGAGCGAGGAAGGAAAAAGCAAGGAAGGAAAGAGGGAAACGAGAAAAGAAGGAAGCGAGGAAGCAAGGAAGGAATGAAGCGAGGAAGGAAGGAAGCGAGGAAGCAAGGTAGAAAGGAAGTGAGGAAGGAAAGATTGCGAGGAAGGAAGGACGCGAGGAAGCAAAGAAGGAAGGAAGGAAGCAAGGAAACGAGAAAGCGAGGAGGGAAGAAAGCGAGTAGGCAAGGAAGGAAGGAAGGAACTGAGGAAGAAAGAAAGGACGGAAGCGAAGGAACAAGGAAGGAACGATGCGAGGAAGCAAGGAAGGAAGGAACTGAGGAAGCAAGGAAGGAAGCAAGGAAGGGAACGAGGAAGAAAGGAAGCCAGGAAGCAAAGAAGGAAGGAAACGATGAATCAAGGAACGAAGGAAGCAAGCAAAGACGCAAGAAAGGAAGGAAGGAAAAAAAGCAAGGAAGGAAGTAAGTAAGGAAAGAAGGAAGAAGGCGAGAAAGCAAGGAAGCAAGGAGGGAAGGAGGGAATGAAGCGACAAAAGAACAACGCGAGGAAAGAATGAAGGAAACGAGGAAGCAAGGAAGGAGTAAAGAAGGAAGGGAGGAAGCAAGGAAGGGAGGATGCAAGTGAGGAAGGAAGGAATCGAGGAAGCAAGGAAAGAAGAAAGCGGGGAAGCAAGGAAGGAAGGAAGCGAGGAAGGAAGGAAAGGAGGAAGCGAGGAAGAAAGCAAGGAAGGAAGCGAGGAAGCATGGAAGGAAGGAATGAAGCAAGGAAGGAAGGAGGAAAGGAAGTGAGGAAGAAATTTATGAAGAAAGCGAGGAAACAAAGAAGGAGGAAAAAAGGAGCGAGGAAGGAAAAAAGCAAGGAAGGAAGGAAGGAAGCGAGGAAGGAAGGAAGCGAGGAAGCAAGGAGGGAAGGAAGCGAGGAAGCAAGGTAGGAAGGAAGCGAGGAAGGAAAGATGCAAGGACGGAAGGAAGCGAGGAAGCAAGGAAGGAAGGAAGCAAGAAAAGAAGAGGGGAGGAAGAAAGGAAGGTAGGATTCGAGGAAGGAAAGAAGCAAGGAAGGAAGGAAGCGAGGAAGGAGAGAAGCCAGGAAGCAAGGAAGGAAGGAAGCCAGGAAGGAAGGAAGCGAGGAAGCAAGGAGGGAAAGAAGCAATGAAGGGAGGAAGCAAGGAAGAAGGAAGGAAGCGAAGAAGCAAGGAAAGGAGGAAGCGAGGAAGGAAGTAAGCGAGGAAGAAAGGAAGGAAGGAAGGAACGAAGCGAGGAAGGAAGGATGCAAGGAAGCGAAGAAGGAAGGAAGTGAGGAAGCAAGGAAGGGAGTAAGCAAGGAAGGGAGGATGCAAGAAAGGAAGGAAGGAAGCAAGGATGGAAGGAAGGAAGCGAGGAAGGAAGGATGCAAGAATGCGAGGAAACAAGGAAGCGAGGAAGGAAGCGAGGAAGCAAGGGAGGAGGGAAGCAAGGAAGGAAGCAAGAAAGAAAGGAGGGAAGTGAGGAAGGAAGGAAGCTAGGAAGGGAGGAAGCGAAGGAATGAAGTGAGGAAGCAAGGAAGGAATGAAGCAAGGAAGCAAAGAAGGAAGGAAGCGAGGAAGGAAGGAAGCAAGGATGGAAGGAAGCGAGGAATGAAGGATGTGAGGAAGCGAGGAAGAAAGCCAGGAAGCAAGGAAGGAAGGAAGCGAAGAAGCAAGGAAGGGAGGAAGCGAGCAAGCAAGTAAGCAACAGGAGATTGATATAGGAATAATATTCATAAACATTATTCTGACTAAATCATTTTAGGATGACCTAAACGCACGCTTATTCGTGTATCTTACTGAATATCGACTTGTACTCAAAGATCTAATACTCATCACATTTCTCAGATGATCTTTCGTATTCTGTAAAATGGCATGGAAATATGATACTGCAGTTTTCCATAACAACGTATCATAATATGAACTATATTAACAGTTGTGTTTGCTGTTATTGAGAATTGTATTGACAAATAATGTATTCATCAAACTGGGTACAATAGTGGATCAAGGTGGGTACGAAAGTGGGAGATTTTCAGGGTATAATCGGGATTCACTCCATTTTTGAGAGACACTTGCTCCTGTTTTCAGCGGGACCTCCTCATGTTTTCAGCGGGGCCTCCTCCTGATTTCAGCGGGATCTTTGCTTAATTGCTCCTGCTAGAAGCGGGGCCTTGAGGGATATGATAAAATTTAAATATAAAAAGTTCTGTAAAGCTTTAGGAAGTGAAACTCGGTACATCTTTATTTCATATCACTATCGTTATTTCAACCACAGGACAACATCGTTCTTCACCAATAACGTATAGAAATATAAAGATAAAGATTCAAAATGATACTTTCTCTCTTCAATTGACAAATAACGAACCACAGAACGACCGTTCGTGATACATTTTTTCCAGCAGTTGCTTTTTTAGTCTCAATACCATGTAATCATTGGGAAAAATTAAAAGAAAACGTTTTGTAAATCATACAATTCAAGAACACAAAAAAAGAACCCATGACTTCTTTTTATTCCTCGCGATTTCAGCGGGAACTTGCTTGCGATTTTTAAATCATAGCGGGGCTTTAGATACTACCCGTGCAAATAGAGCCACCACAATATTTCAACCTTTATAACCCTTGCAAAAAGATTTTCTTGCAATAAAAATGTGAAAAAATAGCTTAGGGTACTTGTAAGCCAATCTGATTTTAAGGTAGACATGTCTCGATATTTTTCAATAATTTTCATGATTATAAATACCGATAATCAATGAAAGGGACAATATTTTCACATTTGTAATTGTATGTGTATGCATGGTCCATGTGTATGTTACCATAATTCTTTATATCCACTTAAAATGTCAAAAATATTGCCCAATTTATAATTATCAGATAATTTATTCATCACCAAAATTAGTAAAAATTATCAACATGCAGAACTACCTTAAATAGTTTAATCTCTCACTCAGTCACAATCATGTCAACCAAAACTGTACTCGTGTTACATAATATAGGATTATACAGCTTACCATACTTGTGCAATCTATATAGCATCCACACTGACATCTTTACAGAATCATATATAATTTTGAATATAAACTAACTCAACCCGAATAAGGCGAGTACTAAAGAATTTACTTACCTGCCATCTAAAAATCTGCTTGGAACTACCATTGGATTACCATTGGATTCCTCCAAGAGAATATTCTAGGGATTATGGAATGCATTCAGCTTACATAATTTGAGAAATTATTGGCATACGTAAAACCTATTTAAAACAGCATTTATCATATTCAAAAGCGTTGAGCATCAATGATTCCCAGCCCTCTGAAGTTTGAAAAATAAAAATACCTGGGTGTTAATCCATGGATTATCTTTGAAAACGAGAAATATATTTTTGGATTACATGGTGTAATCTTAAAGTAAACAAAATGTTTTAAAGTGTATTGATGTTTTTTGGATGAAAAACATAAGTGAAATTCATGAAAAAAGTCCCCCGATTCATTCTACAAACAACTCGCCCTCCTTTTGAAACCTTGGGCAATTGTGCAAAAAATTCCAGTACATATTATTTTTCCTGTACTTCCAGTATACTAGTGAACTTGAGGATGTGATCTCTCCAGCATAGGAATAAGTTGATGCTGACCCCAGTTGACATTTCAAAAGTGGAGTGTTTACACCTGAAAAACATTCACACTGATGCTGACTCCTGTTGACAGCTTAAAAAACAGGATAGGGCTCACCTGAAAACCTATTTGCACTTACTTGGAAATGGGAAAAACAAGATATATTGGCATAGCTTGACAATCATAGAAACAAGACATGTATACACTTTGAAAAAATCCCATGAACTCCACTTGTTGTTTTTTTTGTAGCAATCAGACATCAGTATTTTTTGTAATAGGAATCAAATGTGCTATGCTACAGATTACTTAAAAGGAAACAGGTCCTGCTCAGGTTTCAAGCATCATTAAGAATTTTTCAAAATGGATACAAAGGATGATTTGAAACAATCATTAAATGAACCAATTATCAAAAAGGAAATAATTGATTCTTTTGATGAAATTGGAAGCGAAACTCACAATGTCACAGTGCATCAACGAATTGATGATAATGATGTTAAAGTAGAATTAGACTGTTTGGGTGATACACAAGAGACCAAAATGATTGATGAAGTCAGTCACAATGTCACAGTGTATCATAAAGTCAGTGATAATGATCTAAAAGCAGAATTAGACTGTATGGGTGATAAAACACGAGATACCAATATGATTGATGATTCCAAATTTGTTGTTAAAGAAGAGTTGGATTCTGAAGCTGATGATATACATGTAAGAGAAGAAATCACTTATGAGAAACTTGAAGTGAACGACATTGAATTAGATGGTACTGAAGCAAAGTATGACAGTCCTCAAACTAATATATCTGTACAGAATAGATTCAGTGAGTGTGATGTCAACTACGTAAAAGGATATGTTGAACCAGATTTGGGATATGAAGTCAATGATACTATCTATGCTGCCACCTTAAAATGTGAAAGTTTCGACCAATGTTTCTCAAAACAATCAGCTTTGAAAAGTCAGACAAGAACTCATACTAGAGAGAAACCATACGAATGTGAACATTGTGAGAAATGTTTCTCACGACATTGGACTTTAAACACACATATAATGACTCATACAGGAGAGAAACCATTTAAATGTAAACATTGTGAGAAATGTTTCTCAAGAAATTCAACCTTAAAAACACATATAATGACTCATACAGGAGAGAAACCATTCCAATGTAAACGTTGTGGTAAATGTTTCTTACAAAAAGGAAATTTGAAAGAGCATTATAGGATTCATACCGGAGAGAAACCATTCAAATGTGAACATTGTGAGAAATGTTTCTCGAAGCAATCATCTTTAAAAACTCATAAAGTGACCCATGCAGGAGAAAGACCGTTCAAATGTGAACATTGTGAGAAGTGTTTCAAACTTAAATTAACTTTGAAACGGCATTACAGAACTCATACAGGAGAGAAAATTCATAAAATGTCTGATACTGGAGAGACTTTCAAATGTGAAGAATGTGGTAAATATTTCTCACAACACTCACATTTAAAAAGTCATATGGCGACTCATTTAGGAGAGAAACCATTCAAATGTGAATATTGTGATAAATATTTCTCACATCAAACCTCTTTGAAAATTCATATATTGACTCATACAGTAGAGAAACCATTCAACTATGATCATTCTGGTAAATGTTTCTCAAAGCAATCACAATTGAAAATTCATAAAATGGCTGATACTGGAGAGACTTTTAAATGTGAAGAGTGTGGTAAATATTTCTCACAACACTCACATTTAAAAAGTCATATGGTAACTCATTTAGGAGAGAAACCATTCAAATGTGAATATTGTGATAAATATTTCTCATATCAATTCTCTTTGAAAATTCATATATTGACTCATGCAGTAGAGAAACCATTCAAATATGATCTTTCTGGTAAATGTTTCTCAAAGCAATCACAATTGAAAATTCATAAAATGACCCATATTAAAGAGAAGTCATTCATTGTGAAGAGTGTGGTAAATATTTCTCAGAATTCTCAACTTTAAAAACTTAATTAGTGACTCATACTGAAAAGAATCCGTTCAAGTGTGACCAATGTGAGAAGTGTTTCATGCATGAATTAACTTTGATATGGCATAGCAGGACTCATACTGGAGAGAAGCCATTCAGATGTGATCATTGTAGTAAATGTTTCTCACAACCATCACATTTGAAAACTCATATAATGACTCATACTGGAGAGAAACCATTCAAATGTGATCATTGTAGTAAATGTTTCTCACAACAATCACATTTGAAAACTCAAATAATGACTCATACAGGATGGAAAACATTCAAATGCGAACATTGCGAGAAATTGCGAGAAAGGCAAATTTTGAAATATTATTTAAGAAGGCATACTGGAGAGAAACTGAAACCCAATACTCCAAGACTCGTTGCTCCAAAACCAGGTATCTCATATACCTTTATTTCTTTAAACCAGACTTAACCCTAGAAGTAGAAGCCCTTAGCTAAAAAAGGTACACAAACACCTAAAGAGGGACAAAAGGGCACCCCCTTGTAAAATGTTTATTAGTGAAGCGAGGATGTTCAAATCATTTGTTGGAGACTAAAAATTAATATTTTAGGTTGAAAGTCAGGATGTACATTCCTCTAAAGGTTCTACACTGTGTAAGCACAGGGCCAAGGGTCCTTTATTTTATAATTGATGATTTTTTTAAATTAGATCCATGCTGTAATCTTAAATTAATAAAAATCTGTAATGTTTTATGATGAATAAATTCAGAATAATCAATGAAGTAATTATTACTAATATGGAATAATATAAACTGTTAGACAATAAATTTTTCAAATATTAAACAGTGTTATGAGTTATACCGCTTATATAGTGAGTTATATTAGAGTCTGAGTCCTTTTTTCAGTTGAAATCATATGAAATGATCTTGATGTCAAAGAGTTTATCATATTTCTACTTATTAATTATCTTTTAAAAATAAATTTTCAAAAACAAAAAAATTGGAAAAATGACCATGAATCCCAAATATCACGCGGTCCTAACTTAGACCGTTAATTTGAATTTTTGACCTACCGGATGTTTGAAAATCAAGGATTACGAGTCACATACTGCACCGTGTTTCTTCAAACTTAGTCCATTCAAAGCATAACACAAATCCCTTTCTGATGGTACATTATTCTCTTCAACAGAGTCCCTACTTCCAGCAGCATTCTGGTCCCCAGCTGTAAGAAGGCCTTCTAACAGCTGGGGACCAAAACGCTGCTAGAACGAGGGTCTCTTTACAATAAAGTAATGCACCGACAGAAAGGCAATTTTGTTCTGCTTTTAATGGTATAAGTTTGAAGAAAAACAGTGCAGTATGAGACTCGTAATCGTTGATTTTCAAGCTCCTGGTAGGTCAAAAATTCAAATTAACGGTCGAAGTTAGGACCGTGTGAAATATATGATAAACGGTAATGTTGTGTGATGCTAGCAATACTATGTACAGTGATATTAAATCTACCAATGCAATCTATATAAAACAGTGCTGCTTCAACAGAAGGAAGTTATTAAAATTTTGTCAAATCCTTTAACACTATATATCAGAATTAAATCAAACCTTGTGAACTGAGAAATTATATGATATGCTTATTAACTTTAACCATAGATTAAAGAGGCAACAAGGACTGTAGAGAGAAAATTCGATTTTTTTATTTTTTCTGAGCTATAAGGGCAACATTTGGCTTAACATCTTCTTTGACATACCTATTTTCTTAAAATATATGGATAAACTATCAATTTCAGCATTAAGAAGTGTAAATTCATTTCAAAGCTTCCATAAAGGGAGTCTTACTTATAGATTTTGAAGATTCACGACGTTTCAAGTGGAATATCAGCTGAAATAATGTTCATCCAGGGGGTTTCGTTGGAGATAATAAAAATATATGTTAGTCTCGATGAAATATCCAAAGTTAAAAATATATTTTGACACTGGTCCATGATCGTTGAATGGCCCCTCTGCACTAATTGTTGCCACTTTAATAATAGATGGCGAAATATTTTCGCAGACTGACAAAATAACATACATCTCTTTTGTTATCATATAACAGAGCCTGTCAAGGAGGATTGGAAGCCATTATTCAAACTCGATACTCCCTTGCCTGGTATGGACTAGTGGTGGATCCAGGCTCCCCACCCCCTTTAAAGTGGGCCCAGAAATTTTATAGGGCCTCAAAAATGGGCCTTTTTGGGTATAATTTGCCCTTTTTAGGAGGAGCACGTAGGTTATCGCAAACAATTTCAAATGATTCTAACTTGAATTATGAATATTTTCTGATTGTGAACATGGATGTATCTTTTAGATCCATTCATTATCTTCAAGAAAAGTATATATAATGATAATTTAGTTAATCAGACCTAAGTGATATTGAAGGGGCAATGGACCAATCAACATACTTTTTCAAAAATGTTGACCTAATTTTCACCAAAAATGCAACCTATTATTATATTGTTGAATGCATAATTAGAATGTGCTTTGAGACATGTTCGATTTCCTAAAAGGAAAATTTGATTACTCCAGGGACTTTAAAGATATTCAATTTGGATGACCAAAATGAACTGAAACCAATGGATACCATGAGATTTTTCAATGGAGAAATAACATGGGGAACACTTATCTTAATGCAATTAAGTTTTTCTTTCAAGAACTATTTAATACATCAAAATAAAGAATAGTAGTGCATTTAACATTGTAAAATTGGGGTCAACATCTTTGAAAAAGTGTGTTGATGAGTTAATTGCTAATCAAATATCTCCGAGTTTGTTTGAATTTATTATTACTGTGCATAATTTTCTTTGAGATAATGAATTGATCTAAAAGATAAACTTGTCTTCATTGTCAGAAAATATAGTCATAATCCAAAATATAACCTTCTGAAATTGTTTGCGATAACCCACGTGCTCCTTTTCAAATTTTGGGCCCAATTTTTGGTTTCAGGGGCCCCAAAATTTTTTCTGCCCAGTTTTTAGTTCAAAAGAATTCAACATCTTTTTTTCTTTTATTGCATTAATTCTAAATCATGATGCATCTAAAAATGCAGATAAAGGTGTAGCATTGCATAATCCTCTTAGCACTTTCCTCACATTCTTCAGAATTACATCCTTACTGTATCTTTTTTCAACAGGCTCTTTTTCCATCAATTCCTATACCCTGTTTTTCAGAACTGAGCCCATGTGTTCAGTGTAGTTGAAATTTTGGCTAATGCTTTCATATTTTACTTTCTTAAGATTTGACCTTTAACCAGTAACAGAGCAGCAAACAAAGTACCGAAGTAGCAATCTTCGAAACAATGTAGCTTTTTTAATATAAAGTTTTATTAAATGAAATTTGATGAGTAACTCCAGAATTAAATTTTCTTTCAAATGAGGTATGACATGATATGTATCATTAAGGACTTTTTGCTGTAGAGGGGGGGGGGTGCTGTTGTTTTTTGACACCCTGTAGTATTTAGTAGTATCAACACTGCAAGAAAAATTTCCATAATATTTATAACTAAACTTTACTTATTTAACCATTTTTAAGCATTGTTTTTCCTTTATTTTCAGTGCAACCTGATGAAGCGCGGTTGAGGATCAGTCAAGTCAATTATGGTAAACAAGGAAAAGAGGGACCATCTGGAGAGTTCTGGATATATTAAGTTTGGAAGATTTCAGTTTGAGATATATTGAATTTTGTGTGTATCGAGTTTAGGATATATTGTGTGTGGAATATATTTATTTTGGTGTACATTGAGTTTGGTGTATATCAAGATTAGAATATACTGAGTGTGGAATATATTGATTTGGGATATATTGAGTTTGGTGTACATCAAGATCAGGATATTTTGAATTGATGCTGCATCGATGAACAGAATGGATCGTATTAAAACAGAAAATCATGATCAACAGACATTGATTGAACCAATTAGATGTATCAAACAAGAAACCAATGATTCATCCGATGATTCTAATGATGCAATCTGCTTTAGTAAACTCAGTAATGGTTATACCGATAGTAAACAAAGATTATATGATGATTCTTGTCAATCACGTGTCATATCAGAAACAACTACAAATACTGGAGATGAAGTTCATCTTGAAATTAAAGAAGTTGTTGTCAAACCAGAAATTGGATATTTTGATGGTGATAACGTCTATGCTGTCACCTTTGATGACTCTACTGGAGGAAAACAATTCAAATATGAACACTGTGAGAAAGTTTTCAATCAACAACTTCATTTCAAAAACCAGACAAAGACTCATAAAGGGGAGAAATCATTTGACAGTGAAGAAAAACAATTATCGGAACTCAAAGAAAAACCTTTTAAATGTAAACATTGTGAGAAAAGTTTCCAACATCATTGCAGATTTAAAGAACATTCTGTCACACATACGGAGGAAAAAAATTTCAAATGTGAATTTTGTAAAAAACATTTTAAACGTAAAAGTGACTTGAAAAGACATAGTTCTATTCATACAAATTGGAAACCATTCAAATGTAATATTTGTGAAAAAAGTTTTTTTCACAAATATAAATTGAATGTCCATATGCTGAGACTTCATTCTGAAACTGGCGAGGGTTCATTCAAATGTTTACTTTGTGATCAGTTGTTTTCAGACAAGGGTGTGCTGAATTTACATATGGAGATTCATACTGAAAACAGAGCATTCAAATGTGAACATTGTAACGCGTATTTTCAAAAAGAGAGCTCATTGACTGTTCACATGAAAATGCATACTGGAGGTAAATCAGTTAAGTGTACCAAGTGTGAAATATGTTTTACGCGAAAAAACAATATGTATGCCCATATCCGGCGGGTTCATAATCGTGAGAAAATTATCTCCAAAAAACAAAAATTGAATGAACAGTTAAGGTTACACATTGAAGAAAAGCAATTTAAATGTGAATTCTGTGGGAAAATATTCCCAAAAAAACGAAATTTGGATGAACATTTTGAGACACATAGTAAAGAAAAACAAGTCAAAAGTGAGCAGACAGTACACTTTCAGCAACAAAGTAACTTGAAGAAAAGTCCGAAATTATCCAGTGAAGAAACACAATTATCTGAACTCAAGGAAACACCTTTAAAATGTAAAAATTGTGGGAAACGCTTTAAATATGATTGCAAATTGAAAATACATTCTCTTGTCCATACGGAGGAAAAAGATTTCAAATGCGAATTTTGTAAAAAACATTTTAAACGTAAAAGTGACTTGAAAAGACATAGTTCTATTCATACAAATTGGAAACCATTCAAATGTAATATGTGTGAAAAAAGTTTTTTTCACAAATATAAATTGAATGTCCATATGGAGAGAATTCATACTGCTACTGGCGAGGGTTCATTCAAATGTTTACTCTGTGATCAGTTGTTTTCTGACAAAGGTATGCTTAATATACATATGGAGATTCATACTGAAAACAAAGCATTCAAATGTGAACATTGCAATGAGTATTTTCAAAAAAATAGCTTGTTGACTGTTCACATGAAAATGCATACTGGAGGTAAACCAGTTAAGTGTACCAAGTGTGAAAAATGTTTTACTCGAAAATACAATATGTATGTCCATATCCGACGGGTTCATAATCGTGAGAAAATTATCTCAAAAAGCAAAAATTGAATGAACTTTTAAGCCTAAGGATACACAATGAAGAAAAGCAATTTAAACGTCATAGTAAAGTAAAATAAGTCAGAAGTGAACAACATTTTGATTCAAATGTCTGCTTTTAAATAATTTCAAACAATGCACTCTTGTTTGTTTCCCTCCCACATCAAAATAACTTGAAGAATTATTTAGAGTTGATGTTTTATTTTATTGTTTTAAAGTAGTGCTTCTGTTGTTCTAGGGAAGAAAATATTTACATTTAAATTTTGTAAAAAGCTATGACACAAAACATGTTAAAACGAATGAATGGTCTTTTTCAGAGCAATAAAATTTGGTGCCCTTTGATTTAAATTGTCAGAGCCCATGATTGTACTAAATAATATCTTGAATTAATAAAGTATATACTGAGAAAATTATGTCCTTCATTAGTGGAGACAACATCCTCTTTTATATACCCCTTGAAAAATCTGATTAACCAAAACGTTGGCTGTAGGTTAAGAGGAAGTTGCCAACTTGGGACGCTGGGACTGTATACATGTACGTAGTACCATGAACGTGGATCGATTTTCGTTCCTTTGTCGTCTTTGATAGTGAGTTGATTTTATAAACTTGTAACTTTATCCTTTTTTGATTGCCAGTCATGTTTTTTGCACTTAGTTAGCAACACCAGCACAAGACAAAACGTTGAGTTAAAATACCAACAAAAAAGGAAAATGATGTGAAAGCCATAAATACCACATGCCATAAATACCACATGCATCGATACGGATCAACAGTTCTCTTCATCTGTTCACAGAAACTAGTAGACTACACCACAAAAACGATGACATACATTTTATTTTTGGAGTGATGTATTCAATTTGCAACTGTTTAAGGAATTATGTTTGATAATTTGGTTTTAAAAATTTGCAATTTTCAGAGTTGAATTACTCAATCTGATTATCCCTTGGAACTAAGTTTGTTGGGATGTAGAGAAGCCTTCCACCCGTCCATCAAATAATTCAAATTATAAATCAAATGGCATTTATCTGATTTATTTCATTTTAAAACTTTTATGGCCATTTATAGAAATATGGCTGCGCAATTCAAAATGGCTGCCATTTGTCGCAATGAAAAACAATTGAGTCTTTGATATTACACAAAAATTGGTTGTTAAAGTCAATTCAGATTTTAAAGCCAAGTGTCTTATGGGCATAGGACCACTGCTGGAGAAGAAAAGGTAAATGTATCTGATCTTCGATAACTCCAATACCACACCGGAATAGCCTTGACAACGGTAAAGTCAGATGACGCTGTCACAAATGGCGGACATTACCGTCGCTTCAATTAGATTTAAAGTGTGCGCCTGACCCGGCTACGTATAGCACGGAGTTTATACTGGCGGATTAGACTAGTTCATTTTTTATATGTGTGTGAAAGCTTTCTCTTATTTGCGTTTTTTCGTTTAGTACGGTTTTGTTATAATTGCCGAGGTCATATAACCGGGATAAAACAATGATTATCGTTGACTGCCCACACACAAAACATACGTTGAGTGAACAGTGTTATTACAAACAACAGGCTTTAGAATACAAAGCGTAGTGTGATAATAAGCTGTACACTACCACTGCTGCATGTACATATTACTAATTTACTAGGGGTCCCAAAGAGTGGATAGGGAGGTTGTGTTTGTCACTTTTAAATTTTACATTTCAAAATTGTCATTTTACATGGCATAATTTGTTGGTTTCATTCGTTTAGCAAATCAAAACATTGTAAAACAATAAATTGCCTGTTACGTACAATCAATTTTGTTCAGTTTTGATTAGTTGTCAGAATAAAGTTACGTTCATCTGAATCCATGTATCAAAACAAAAATCCTATTTTCACTTCAAAATACTTCAGTGAGATGAAGGCTCGGAATTGTCACATGCAATAACTTATTGTCGTATTCGTTATTTTATCCACAGTCAGAGAGAATGTTTCTGGCGAAATTCTGGGACTTCAAATACTTTTAGGTATAAATATAGTTCCAGAGCAGTTCGAAGAACTGCGTATTAGATGTCCGTGATTTTATCTTCTCAATAGTAGCATTTAGTCGCACATTTGATGCCAGGTCACCTTGTCGCGTACCTCTTGGGGAACCCCACATTTATGTATGTACTCATGGAAGTAAATTCCCCGGTGTAGCCGAGAGCCACAAACTTTTCAACAGGTTCGAAATGACCAATTTCTCTCATATATACTCTAAATATTTTATTATTTAGCACCTACAAAGTATTGCTAATAACCATATGTAATTTCAATAAGGAAACTTATCTGGCTACATATAAATTCAATATCAACACTAGCTGTTCTCTCAACACGTCCTGGCTTACCTTGTGGTGACAAACCCTGGATTTTCGCTATTTATAGTTTATCAACACCTGGACGCATGCGCATTTTATAGTTTATCGGGCACTTTAATACTCATTGTACAGTTAAACATTTTCTACCATCGAAATAAAGTCTTTACTTTAACCGATGAAAATGGAATACGGGACAATGGACACTGTAATTACCATATGCCATCAGTTCCCAGTTCCTCTCTCCCAAACTTACTTCTCCATTCGTACGCCGAGTCCCCATATCGCTTCACTGAATATAGTTCTTATTTTATCTCTTAATGTGATTTTATACAATAAATGAAAAAGAATGGTGGTCGGCAGTTGACTTCCAATACCTTGAAAGGTGGGAGTGTTAACTTTGAGAATTAGCCATTTTTACAGAGGTACAAGTACTGTTTAGGCTAATTTAAAATTTTTACTGTGAATGTATATAAACATGTTATGAGTTTCAAACATTTCTGCAAATATCTGTAACCATGGCAACAAACAATCTGACACGTAACATGTTTTAACCATTTGCAATGATTTACAAAGTGGTGACTTTTTGTCATTTTAATGGCTTGTTGCAATTGTAATTGCAACCACAGAGTGACATTTTGTCATGTAAGTGTCTCTTTACATATTCGCATTGAGAGCTTCTTCGATGTCTACAAAATATATTCACCAATTCATATGTCATAAGCTATTGCAGCAAGGCTTTTGATTCATGGGCAAAGCTAGCTGCAGGCAAAAATTTTTTGAACCGTTTTTCCACAAAAAAATTAAAAAAATATATTTATTGATGTTTTTTGCTCTAGTGAGGCTATTGGATTACCCCTTGTACTTTTGCTTGTCTCTCCATCTGTCAAAATTGGAATTTCTCATTGTTTTAACTAATGCCCATATTCATTGCATATGCGAAACTCAAATACATTTTTCGAGAAAGATTTTAACCTGTATGGCTTATATTGTTGTCTATTTTTCACATTTTATCAATTTGCTTTAAATGTACAATATTATACAAATAGTGACTGTCATTGAGCACACCAGAATAGCCTGACAACGGTCATGTCAGATACCGTTGTCACAAATGGCGGACATAACCGTCGTTTCAACTTTTTAATCACTTGGTCCTCGTTTTATGGGACATAATCGTCGCTAATTCTGTGCATGTATTAAGCTCTTGTGATGATGTATTTATGAAATCCTAATTTAAAATCAAAATCTGGGGTCGTGAATCGCCACAACTATAGCGTCTTCGATATCGTCAATGACAACGAAATCTGAATTTGAAATAATTTACAAAGACAACGGCATATGGTACAGATGTGACAACGGACTATGGTGGACGTTATTGCATTGGAACATAGGAAAATGACAACGGTAAATACTAAATAGACACTTTACCGTTTTCTTTATATATACCGTTGTCAATCCGATTTTACGTTACATTTGACCCGCACCTTCCGTTGTCATTTATACAGTATCAGTTATCATGTGTCATATTTCGATTGTTAAAATCAAAGCCTTTATTTCGATGGTACACTCCCCTCTATAATTTTGGCATCCTTAGATCCCCCATACATTGAAGTACGTGTTAAAGCCTCTTTACGTTTGAAATTTTATTTACTTAACTTGCGATGAAATAACTTGTAATATTGATGGAACTGTAACTTGACTTTATTTCCAACACCTCCAAATTTTCCCAATTTTTCTGCAATTACAATAGGTCGAAAATTGATGATAAATTTGATGGATTTTTGAAAATCGTCATCCCCATGTTGCATGTAAACCAATGGGAAATGATGTGTTTGGGGCAAATCAGAAATAATGATAAATATTCAGTAAAAGATTCAGCAAAAATATTTTTGTATAGAAAATTGAATTGTCTAACTTTTTTGTACACAAAGTGTATTGTTTACTTGATGAATACTTAAGTTACAGAGCTTCAAAGTCACTTTTGAAAATCATTCTTCGCCTCCTGTGTTATTTCAATGGGAGAGGTTTTTTGAAAAACAATTTTGACTTTAAAGACCTATACCTTTGTTGAACCTTTGTTAAATAAAGTTTAGCCTACTTAAAATTGTATTTTTGCAAGGACTCGGGTGGATGGATATTCTGTCATATAACGTGCGGCAAACCTACCATTTCCTATTGGTTACATGGGAATGTCGATTTTCACAAATTTATCATCAATTTTTCGACCTATTGTAATTGAGGAAAAAATTGGGAAAATTTGGAGGTATTGAAAATAAAGTCAAGTTACGTTTCCATTTATATTTAAAAAATGAGAAAATTTGGAGGTATTGGAAATAAGGTCAAATTACGTGTCCATCAATAGTATAAGTGTTTTCATCGCAGGCTAAGTAAATAAAATTCAAAGGTAAAGAGACTTTCACACGTAGTTCAAGGGGGGAGCTAAGGTTGCCAAACTTATAGAGGGGAGTGTAGAACATATTAACTCTATGATCAGTAGAAAAACACAGAGTGATAGCTGTACCAAAGGAATTTGATGCAGTCGCTCTATTAAACATACAGTTCATGAAAATCTAATTTGATCGACGGTTATGTCCGCCATTTGTGACAACGGTATCTGACTTTACCGTGTAAATTATTTCCCCGAGGTAATATCCTCTAAAGTATACTTTTCCCGAAGCCGCAGGCTGAGGGAATGGTACATTTAAAAAGATATTCCCAAGGGGAAATCATTTACACTATTGCTTGAATTAAGGCAGTCACTATACCCAATATTGATTTGTCATTTCAGCAAGACATCCAGGCCCTGAGAGCCCCAAGTCCATATTTTTGTAAGCATTAAAACCCGTGACGTCATGATATGCTCGACAGAAGTTTTATTTATATTTTCATATTGAATATCTGTTGGAGGAAAATTTATATAAATAGATGTCAATGAAATGAATCATGAACAATGAAAATCAAGCAAATAAGTCAACATGAGCATTGTTGATTTCTGTGAAATGGTTATGAACTACAAGAAATATACCCCAACGTGGTAGCAGTCCCCATAAAATGCTAAATAGATTCGGTGAACTTTTCCAAAGGCCTTGAAATGCCACACATATATTCACCTTTGAACTTGAGATGACGGCCCATAAATATTTATTTTACCTCATGTTACGTAATTATGGGTCGCCTTGTGTCTTACATGTGTTAAAACGCCAAATATTAAGATAATGACCTTGGAATGACCATGACCTTAGGTCACCTCCAAGGGTCACAGCAGCCCCTAAGGTCCTTAAAACGCCAAATACTTAGATATTGAACTTAAAAAGACCTTGACCCATAAACATGTGTCGACAAGGGTTACAGCAGCCCCAATGACCTTAATCACCAAATACCTAGATACTGACCTTTGAACTAGAAATTACCCTGACCTCAGATCACCTATTCATTGGTCGTCAAGAGTCACAACATAACGAAATGCATTAAAACAGATCAATTATCTTAAAAAGCCAAATACAGTACCTAGATATTGACCTTTAACCTTGAAATGACCGTTTTGGGCTTATTTCTGTCGTTATTAGAGCACTTTAAGCCCGAATCCAGTACTTGAATCCCTAATTTTATAACTTCATTACGCAGGATGCCCACTTTTGTAAGAAATCATTTGTGGGAGTTCAGAAAGAACTTTTATAAGCAAGTAGGCCTCGTTATACAATATTAAACACACACATATGTACGATTATTTTGTACATCTTCCTTTTTTCATTATCTCATATCACTAGCTATTTATTTGCCATCTTAGTGGGCAATATCACATTCTCTGTATATACTTAAAATAAAATAGTATATGGACAACGTCAGTGTTAAGCTACATGGCCAAAATGCTTTTTCTGGCTTGTGAGACAATATTGTGAGACGTTCTCAAATGAGTGCATAACGTGTTTCCGAAATAGTTTTATAATAGAAATATGTCAATGATAAAAACAGGTATTAATTTATACCTTAAGTATTAATTTATACTTTAAAAATGCATCAGAAATTGATTGCTCAATCATAGGCCAATATTCTCACTCATAGAAAGATTTTGAGACTACACTACGGTTTCTATTTGAGCTACATTTACTGTCTCAATGTTTTGACTTCCAGGTGCTCCTCGAGTTCCCCGATTTTGTGAAGTAGGGAACACTTGGTTCTTTCGCTTAAACATTGATATCAGCTCGCTTCTAAACTTACGTGTGCACACTGAGTAAAGAACAACATTTACGGCACAGTTAGCGTACGCGGCCACAACAGCATATATCGCCAATACAAGAAGTTGGACCTCCGCTTCGATATTGCCCTCGCTCTGGAGTCGAAATAAATCCGGATAAACGAATTGATAAACAGCAGTTGGTGTTACTGCTGCGACGAGGAATACGCTGATGGCGAACATAACGGCCGTCATTGAAGTCATCTTGGTTTGGCTGCCGCCTTGGATCATACGCATGCGTTTGTACCTCGCCACCAACAGCATAGCGATGATGAAGATATTGCAGCCCGTGACGCCAATGACAGGAATCAGTACGAACACGCAGAAATCAATCCAGGGGAAAACAATAATTGCAAAGTGATAATGGTCATTCTGGATGCTGACATCACAGGACAACAGTTCTGTATTGTTAGACCCCTGTGTAGATTCATACGTGATGAAGAAATGAAAGTTAATGACAGCAAGAAAGCAACCGAAGAAGATAGCTACACAGTATATCCTCAGCCGAGTGAAATAGATCCGTACTTTATGGGGGACACCAACTGCAACGGCTCGTTCTATTGCCACTAACATCACCAACCAAGCGGAAAAATCTGTGAAAAGATAATTAAAGAATCGATATGCTTTACAGTACGCACTGGAGGTGCCGGTGAAATCTTTCCCTGTGATGAACATAAGGACATATCTAGTCGGGCCAATCAACAGACAAAGTATGTCTGAGATACTCAGCAATAAGAGAATCTGGCTAGTTGGAGAATCCCGATAACGTCGACGTCTCAAAACAACGATGTTGAGTATATTTCCTAAAATCCCAAATACCATAAAAACTGGTAAAGAAATACGCCAAACTTTCACGGCTGTTCTGTATTGAAAAAAATCTTCCAATCGTTCCACGTGACCACTCGTATTAGTACTAGTATTCATTATTGTAACAATTGGTTCTGCTATTACCGACTCTATTCTTAGACTGATCTGATGCTGCGTCGGTAAATGTGATGATACTTATAGTATATTCCCCGTCGCATGCAAAAATATTTTATCTATTACTCCACACCCTATATATAAATGTGTATATAAAACAGCAGTATGCTTGACAAAAAAACACAATCCACGATTCAATTATTTTAATTTAATAAATATATTCATCCAATATTTAAATGTTTTCGAAGCATGTAAAGCAGGTTTGTAAAATGATGTATTTCAACAACGGGCAGGGCTACAGTACCTCCTCGCACGCAGAGCGGAAAGTCACAAGATGGCCCAAGCATAGGACAAGCCGAGCACGGCGAGGATATGATGACACGAAAAAATATAATGGACATACATGTAATATGGATCTGCCCGTGATTGAAAAATTAAAAAATATCCCGGCTGTTTTAAGAAACATATTCTCGATATCATTACTACATGTACTAGGCTACAATGACACACAGATAATAGGTACTTTAAATAGATCATGGGATTTTAATTTATTTTCCTGGACAATTATTCTGAAGTCAACGGCTAGATGTAATAGTTAAGGTCGGGGTAGTTATAAGAAATTTACACCAAACAGGAAAGGAAAACCCCATGTGGATTTTAGATTTTTGAATTTTTTGAAGTAAGATAACAGATATCCTGCTTTGATCTACAGTCAGTTGTACCATAGATCTCGGCCTGATTCTTTAGTAGTAGAATCAGTAGCTCAGTTGATATTCTTTAAGCCTATGAGATCCTACTACAAAACGAGCGTTATTCATAAAGCCAACGTAGGCCTTACGACGACGTATCGTATTGCGGAAACTAATTTTGTATTAATTTCATAGCAAGCGTAACTTTACGATGAACGTAGGGTCCTACGGGTCTCAAAAAATATGTACGTAAAGTATCTTCACCGTGTAACTTTACGTACAGTCTTAACATCACTGTTTATTCATACGTTTGGTATTCAATTACCATTAGATTTTGAGAAATACTTATTTTAGATATATCGTAATGCGTAAAATGATAAATTTATTTGTCATTTGCTTGACATCTTAAAGTATCTTGCTGGTCCTAAAGATAGATACGAAAATGTCATTAATTTTTAGTTGTCCAAGCAAAACAGCAACGTATCTTTCGTATACATTCAACGACGTAGATCATTTTCAAATGCTAATGCGTCATCATTACGTAATAGAAAGAAAGAACGCATGCACTATCAAAGCCAAAATGGCGTTTGTAGTAAGACTTAGATGTGTGCATCTTTGCAGTTAAACTAAGACGAGAGCGATTGTTCCGGGGCATTTAATTTTGGAGTTGGTTCAGCGAATTAGTATGGACACAAGTTCCCCAACACGGAAGAACTTTGCCCTTCCACCATTTACACCCAAGTCACATTTGTCGTACGGAGGCCGTGCGTCGACCGCAGATCAATTAAATCTTAATTAATTTCTGCGACGAGCGTAGAAAAAGTATTATGTTACAAAAACACCGTCATTTAAGTTTAAGAAAAATGTCTTGAATTAATAATTGAATTTCTTTATGAAATTATATAGGCGTTTTGCCCCACCCATGGGCCGTCTTGCCCCACTCTCGACATTTGTTTGCCGCCATTGAAAAATCACAGAAGGTAGTCCTAGGCAAGGATAAAACACCATCGTCGGTTCCCACGCTCAATCAATTTTGTGAGAGTGGGGTAAGACGGAACGAAAATCTACACCTATCGTTGATAGGCTACTGTTCATTAAACATGGGTTTCCTTGAAAATGGTTATAATATTTTACAATGCAGAGCTACTGAAAATGATTTTAAAATTAATTTATATTATCTATACAGACTATTTCATATCAAAACCGTCTCCCGTGTCAACAGGGTCAACTTTACCAGGCGTTTTGTAAGACGGAACAGGTGAGGTAAGACGGAACGGTTGATATTATCTGAAGGAAATCTAAATAAAATGCTCCGATTTGATGTTTTTTCATGTACGGGTGGTCAAAAAAGGCAACCATAGTTTTTCCTAATATCTTTGTCATTCTAAGGAATAACTCCCTGCATTTGTACATCATTCAATTTCCTACCAACCTGCCATATCTCATGACCATCGGACTGATATTCACAATATTACTGCATTTTGAGCAACATGCCCCAGATGGCCACTTTCGGGCTGTCTGAGCTGGTCAGTTATTCAAATGAACTCCATTTCCAACTTGATGCACTGGTTAAACTCTAACAATTATGCATTCTTGGGGAGCCAAGCACTTGATGAAGTAGTGGAGAGGCACCTTCACACAGACATATGCACAGTTTAGTGTGTTTTCAGAAGATGGGGTCCTTTACCTTTGATGATACCAACGCCGATATGCAATAACTGTCAACATCAAACTCTATTTTGTGATTCCCATGTAATTCATGGGGACTATAGGTGAACCCAGGGGGGGGGGTGATAGGCAGCAACAGTGGTTCCAACAAGACAGAATCATACCCCATACACCCAATGATGCACAATAATGGCTTTGTGACCACTTCCTGAATGACTACATTATCAGCAGTATAACAGACAATGAATGGGCACCCAATAGCCCAGATATGGCCCCATTTAAGCCCCATTTAATCTTTACCAGTGGGGATACCCCAAAGATAGAGTGTAGGGCAATAACACCAGGAAGACATTTGACCTCAAAATAAAGATCACGTGTGTCATTCAGGCCATACTTGCTGAGGAATGCAGTCATGTCATTGACAGGTTTGGAAAACGTGTGCAGGTTTGCCTACAGCACAATATTGGAAAACGGGGGCACCTTGTTTAAAGTGCTGTAGCATTGCGACTATCCCAATGTTCATAAAATACTAGCAACACATCCTGGTATGAAATTGAATGATGTACATGTGTGCCAAATATCAGGGCAAAATTTCTAAAAATGACAAAAAAAAGATATGAGGAAAAATTAGGGTTGCCGTTTTTTTACCACCCTGTACTTTATTTCAAGTTCAGTAGCACACGTAACGGTGTTTTTGTACCATAACCAATATGGAACGATTTTCCAAAAAGCACTTGCAAAAATATGTTTCCATACGTTGTATAAAAAATAATCTAAAATAATTCAAATGGGACGGAGGGGGGAGGGGACGGAGGGGTGAGCAATATGTCTATAAGATATGATATGAGATGTTACTTGATACTTTATATCCAGATTTTCCCATTATCTCTTCAATTACAAAGGGTCAGGAATTGATAACATGTTGTACTTGTTAGGTTTAGTTAGAGGGGTCAAATTAAGGTTGGCAAAATATTCCAGGAGACTGTTTATCTATGTTTACTTGCTGATTTGTAGGCATATCATACACAGCACATCACACTTTGGACATGTAAGTTTCAGCGAAAATGTAAGTTATTCACAGCGAAGTAACAATCTGCTTGATATTAATTATGCGATATATTTTAATTATGCAGAATTGAATAAATACAAGAAGCTCACGCGTCTCCAACTCACGACCTGATGGTTATGACGTCTTTGTCTAGATAAATAAATCTAACTACGAATACAACTTGTTATCAATTCCTAACCCATTGTAATTGAGGAAAAATGGGAAAATTTGGATATAAAGTGAAGTAACATCTCTCATCATGTCGTGTAGACATTTGCCCCCCCCCCCCCGTCCCCCCCCCCCTCCGTCCCATTTTAATTATATTCGATTATTTTTTATACAACGTATGGAAACGATTTTGTAAAGTCATTAAGGTCATTAATTTTATGATGATAATGTCACTTACAAATATTTATTGCAGGTTGTGTAGACCGTTGATGCTTGATTTAAAGCAAAAACATTGACTTTTGCACGTTGGTGGCGTTGCGCCTTTTTTAATAGATCTTATACCTAAGAAGAGAATCGGCTAAAAAAAAATTCGTAGAATACGTGACATATCTTACCATACCGTGCGCCTATTCGTTTAGCAATTAAATCATAAACCTTTTCTTGAAAAAATAATTTTTGCAGATTTGTTCATTTTTCTACCAGAAATTGCTTGCTCCCCCCCCCCCCCCCTTCCGTCCCATTTTCACGATCACCGGGCGCGGCGTGGCTACGCCATTGCAGAACAACTTGAAATTAAATTTTTAGGGCCGTTTTGCCCCATGTTCGTTATCCCAGGCGATCCGCATTTATTGTTTATGTTTTAAATTTCCCACTCAAAATGAACCAATGAAATGGCGTGACTCAAAAAATTGCAATGCATAAAGCAATCCAATCAAAACGACGTTTTCAATGTTCTTCGGCTGTTTCTTCGAAATATTGATTTTGAGGCAATAGATTTTCTACTTTTTAGTTTATCTTATTCTAAGAACGACCTTTAGCGATATACTCTCCTGCTTTGAAAACTAGTGCAACAGTGAGTACATTTTTTATTAGTTTTTATATAGCTCTACGTGTTTGTACTTTTAGATAAACGAGTTTTTAGGCCAGGGTGCACTTTGGAAATTTTCTGCAAATGAAAAGTAAACCACTGACTGAATATTCTAGTTATTCAAATATTCTGAAGAATTATCAATCCTAAATTAACAGTCTAGGTACACTAATGCATCTTTTGTGCAAGAATGAAAGATGCAGACGATATGCGGAATTAGTAATAGCAATGGACAACGAATAGATGGCGCGTTTTCGCGGGAAATTTTATTCACTAAAAAATTGACCCCGCTTTTATATGCAATTTTGGTCGCTCATTTTAACTATGTTAAAAGTCGAATTGCTGTTATTTCTTTATAAAATCTGTTTAATAATTGAATGAAGTCTTCGCACATTCTGAAGAATAGAAGAAAATCGTTTTTGGCGAGGACGAACTTCACGAGGTAAAGTTATACCCTCAATAATTTTTGGTCGCTTTGATTAAGCAGTTATTTGTAAAGTTTAAAGTCTTAAGATCGTAAAAAATTAAAACTTACACTGATATATATATGCGCAAATGTAGAAATTCAACTTTTAAAGTGACTGGTGTAATCTTCCGATTCTCATGCAAGATGGCGGCCATATTTATCTTCCGGGGTCGCGTGTCACGCAAAAATATTTCTGTAGAAAATTTTTAAAAATATGTTGACGATATGGTAAAAATACGAAGGTCGGAAAAAACCGAACGCAATTTGTTCGGATTTGTCACGCGAATCCGGTATGTGTCACGCATGTTAATTGGAAATTTTCGTACCTACCCCCCCCCCCCCCCCCCCCCCCGTTGACGATATAGGGAGCGTAGCGAGCGCGAAAAATCGAGGTGTCCAAAATGTGATTAAATGCAATAAAATTGAAAACAAGGTGCTCAAATTGTGGCCAAGATGTTCAGATTTGGACCAAGGTGTCCAAAATTTGAACAAAGGTGTTCAACATTTGCAAGTCACTCATGTTAGGTGTCCCCAAGTTGACAGGCCTGTAGACACAGATTAAAAGATTGTTATTGTCACGTGATTAGTTTGTTGTTGTTCTCGCGATCAAGCACGTGGATCGATGTGGATAGGTTGGTATGATTATTTGACAATTACCAATGCATAATTCAGTAATTACAGGTGCCCCAATCTATTATCATCGGATAATCACTTTGACTACTTGCAGTCTCACCTCCCTTGATGCCCCATACTGTAAAAGTTTATCATTGATGACCCATACTAATGATCACTTGATGTCCCATACTATTGATCATTTGATACATGTATACCATACTATTGACCACTTGATGTCACACACTATTGATCACTTGATGTCCCACACTGTTGATTCCTTTGATATACTATTGATCACTTGACGTCCCATACTGTTGATCACTTGATGTCCCATACTATTGATCATTTGATGTCCCATACTATTTAACACTTACTACCCCATACCATTGATCACTTGATTTCCCACACTGTTAATTATTTTATTCCCTAATACTTATTAATTACTATTGATTATTGATTGTCCAAGACTGTTGATTACTTGATATCCAGTACTGTTGATCACTTGATGTTCCATACTGTTGATCACTTGATGTCCCATACCATTGATCACTTGATACCCCATACTATTGGTTAGTTGATGTCCCATACCACTAATCACTTGATGTCTCATACCATTGATTTCTAAATGCAGCATGCTTGTTTTAACGACTTGGAAAGTTTTATTTTGGTCTCTCTCAAGACTTTTGAAAACTATAATACATGTACATATGGACATATGTATATTATATATTATGGTAAACAATTTAGTGATATACATGTAGTGTCAGCTTATAGATACACTATTTGTATACATGGAAAGAATATTACTCAAGTAATAAAAAATATTTGTACTAATGTTCTCCATTGATCCAAATGAAAGAGACATAGGAAATTGTACATTGCAAATGTTTATTTTAAAAAAAATACAAAAAACGCCCATGGGTGATACTCTGTGACTCTAATTTACGAAAATATGAACTTATATTAGACCTTCATTTTTTTTTGTTTGGTTAAATAAAAGTTAGAGTTACAAGAAAATATAAAGTATGATAAGATAAACCTTATTGTTAATTTTTAATTAAATTTCAAAGTTGGGGTCAGTTTTTAGCAAAAACGATTTTTGGACCCCCTGAGGGTGACCTACTTTAAATGGGTGCCACGGCCAGTATGCATTTTCTAAAAATTTAGGTTATAGATTTTCTTTTTATTGAAACTCCAAGCTTTCAGAAAATATATAATTTAATGGGTTTGGGTTAATTTAAAAAAATGGTTGTCCAATGCTATTAGTAATGTTTATCCGAAAATAAGCACATGGTCCAAGGGCTTATTTATACCCGTACCCCCATAAATGTGGGGTCGAATTGGCGTTTTTTCTTATATTTTATCATTCAATACCTGGGGCTTAGTTGTGTACCAAACGGAACGAGAAACGACACGACATCCGGGGCTTTGTTTGGTCTTCATTAGACGATAGTGTATACAGGGGTATGTTTTCTCAGACCTAGGTACCTTTTTCTGTACCGTTTTGTGGTTATTTTACTCTATGGTATTGCAATCCGTTTACATCATTAGCTACATAATTGATTAACTAATAAATATATGATATGTAAATAAGGGTTAATACGAACAGAATAAACAGGGAAATGTACTTGAAGTGGCGATTGTGTTTTCTGTCAGTCAGTCTTACCCCCCCCCTTACCCAGCTCTATAGCGCAGTATAAGGTGACCTGATTATGCAAATGAGAAGACCCCGTTGGTTTCTCGTCAGCGCAATCAAAACGGACGCGGACAATATTGGTTTCAACTGTTGTTTCCGAACAGTTTGTGACCTTAATTCACTTAACTATAAAATATGTTACGTTATGAGGATAGATTGTTTTTACTTACCAACCATCAACATGTGCTGACATATTCAGCTCTGGACATTATGTCCAAAGGGGGGTAAAGACACATCGTTAGAAAAAATTTCAAGTTATCACACCCCTATCATATTTATTGTTTATTGGCTAATTCAAATCTGATGCGGTAAAAAATCGAACGGTAAAAATCGAACCAATTTGTGAACGTTCCAGGTATTACGTTCGCCCTTGCATGGTCATGAAATTTCACAAAAGTGTACCCTGACCTAAGGCCAGCCATGGGCTCTCTAGTTGAAAGCCCATGGGCCAGCAGAGTGCACTATTTCAATTGAAAAGTAAACCACTGAATATATGAGTTAGTTATTCATACATTCTGAAGATGTAGATGATGTGTGGAATGAGTGGGCCCAGAAAAAGAAGTGGGTCCAAGAAAGTGTTGGGCCTAAAAAGGCCTTACTGGGGCTTTTAAGGCCTTATTTTTTAATTTCAGGTCAAATTAAAAATGACTTCAAATTTTGAAGAAAATGGGCCTCAAAATTACAAAATTTGAGCCCATTTTTGGGTTCTAGGGGCCCAAAATTTTTTCCTGCGCAACTGCGGAGGTTTTTTTCTCTTACCTAAAATTTGGCCCCCCCCCCCTTATTGGTTCCCAGATCCTCCCCTGCCGAAGACGATCCCGGGTTGAGGATAGTCAACCATAACTTGCTGGAAGTATTCCTTGGACTTATGTTGTTCAAATCTTGTCTTTTCTTGAATGTTGATGTAGCTTATCCATAACCATCGATGAATCAAAATAATTACTGTACTGTATTTAATAAAACCTCAATATGTGTTCTGAAGTTAAAGGAACAGAATGTGTAGGTGTAAATATTTTCGAAACAAATGCATGATATATACACATATTTTGTACCAAATGCGTGCACATAAACAGCAATCGCGTGCAAAGACCAAACGGAATGCGTTCGCTTTTTTTCGCCATTTGGTATTTTACCGTGTCGACATTTCCCCAAAAAACGATTTTTATAAATATCAACAAATGCGTGATTTGCCTGATATTTGATCATACACACTAAATTGATGCGTGATTTCTATTTTTCCAGCAAATGCGTGACAATCAAGCCTAATGCGTGGGGAATATTTGTTTTAAAACCTCCATCAAACCTACATCATTGTCTTTGCTTCAAATCAGTTAAATAGTGACATACAGGGCGTATCAAAAAAAGGCAACAAGTAGTTATCTCGTAAAATCACAAAACTAGTGATGACCACATCAATTTTATTTAATGTACCATAAAGCCATGTCTCTCCTCTTTGCAATGATATGTCATTCATTCACATGTGGTAATGGTTGGGTGAGAAATCCTTCCATTTGCACAGTGGGTCAAAATCGGCTCTGCGCCAAGTTTCAGATATTGAAAAAATCAGTGCAAGGGCTAAGTGCCAATGGAAGTTCCCCTGACTTGAATTTCTGTGACTTTTTCTTTTGGAGTTATCTCAGGAGCATCTGTTTTCACAATTCCTCCACCAGATATTGCAAAACCTCGAGAAAGATTTGCCCATGTGCTGCTTTTCTTTGCTCTAACCCACACATGATTCAGGGCTGAACCATGCATGATGTGGACAGATGAGCGCATCTTTATGTGCAAGGAAGTGGTGGCAATTTGGAGGGGTATAGGATGTATCCTTGCAAGAGTATGAGTATGAACACTTTACTAGACTGTCTTTGCCATACCTGTCACATCTTCTTCCAATAGCCCCTATGCCCCTTGTACTGACTTTTGCAATGTTTTAAACTTGGGTCCGAGTTGAATTTTGCCCTACTTTGCAAAATTAATGATTATTCGGCCAGAGATGATCCCCTGTGAATGAATGATATTCGATTGCAAAGAGGAGTAATTTGGCTTTTTGGTACATTGAATTAAAAAGATGCTGTCAGCATTGATTTTATGTTTTCGTCCGATATTGCATCGGGCTCCGTACACTGACTTTTGCAATGTTTATAACTTGGCCCAAAGCTAATTTTGGCCCACTTTGCAAATGGAATGATAACTCACCCAACCATGACCAAATATCAATGAATGATATATCATTGTAAAGAGGAGACACATGGCTTTATGGTGCATTGAATGAAATCAATGCTGTTATCACTGGTTTTGTGCTTTTCCAAGATAACAATTTGTTGCGTTTTTTTTTTGATACGCACTGTATACTGTAGATTGGGTTAATTTGGCGCTACTTAATTTGGCGATTTTGCCATTTTTGGCATATTGGCGGCTATTTAATTTGGCGGATATGAAAAAAAATGTTAATACAACGTTATACTTGCGCTATTAGCGAACTACCATGTAAATGGGCATGTTTGGCTATGTTCATTCTTTAAAAGTCCTCAAAAGTTGAGGACCACTGGCGATATTCACCATGTTTGTACATTTTTGTGAGATCATCCTTTACATTTTGCACCTCGATCGATGCTGCTACTATACATCACATTTTCCCTGAGTATTAATGAGTGACTGACCAGTTCTAAGCCAATTTATGAGAGACATTTTTTCATATTTTTGTAAAAAATTTAACCGGAAGTGACCTAAATACACTGGACGAAATACCCTAGATAATTCCCGGGGATTCATTCTAAATTTTGGCGAAGATTTATATTGGCGAATTTTTCAATTTCGCCAAATTCGCCAAATTAAAGCGGGCGCCAAATTAACCCAATCTACAGTATCTAAAGTGTACTACAGTAAATTTTGTCACTGTACCTTGACGATGGTAAGGCGTGGTTTTGTCATTTCCTGTTAAGTATCATAAGACCTTAAAACCTTCCCCGATGATTCTATTTTTCGAACACTGCATGACGGTTCATTCAAAGTCTAGTCTATTGAACCTTGAAAAGCCATATTTAGACTGAGGATTGAAAGTTGTTCACGACAACTTTCAGCTCATCTTTATTATTAAGATGAACCAAAAGTGAATTTTCGAGTCAAGTAAATGGTGATAATGTTCTTTGATATTGATTGATAATGATTGATTGATGATATAATTAATATAATTTAGATTTGCAATAACTAGACCATAGTCAATGCCTTAAATTGGGAAATTTGCAACGATTATTTTTTTGCAATTTTACCAAAAAATAAATAAGGGGAAAACTAAACCGCACTGGAAAAATACCGGGAGTACAGTTTTTAATCGAGATTCAGAAAATGTGAAAGTAAATAAATTATGATTTGGGCAATTAAGTTGAAGACAATGAGTACCCTGCATGTAGAGTCTAGTTAGAAAAGACAAAGCTCTCTTTTAAGTGCAAAGTTGAACGAATGCAAAGGGTTGACAAGGGGATAAATTGTCTTTAAATTAAATTATGTTTTTATTTCCAGTGCAGCTACTCATCTAGTCCAGGAAGAATGAATATATAAGAACTGTGAATTCTGAAAGATCAATTTTTTATCCAAAGAATCATTAAAAGTCTCATTGAAAGACACCATCTAAAAAGATATGGATCATACATCAGTAGAGCATGATATAGAATCATCAAATGATGCACTGGCTATCAAAAAAGAAATTGAGGAGTCATTTGCTGAGGGGAATATTGCTATAAATGATGCAACGTGGCCCTTTAAAATCAAATATGATGATGTCAAACAAGAGGCAAACACAGATGACTACAATGAATCAGATGTTAAACCAGAATTAGATTATACACGTGACAATATACAAGAAAATGATATTAAAAACAATGATTTGAACATTGACTCAGATTCTAATGTAAGTGATGAAACAATTCAAACCAATATATTTGATATTAAGAAGCCCAAGGAGAAACCATTTAAATGTGAACACTGTGATAAAAGTTTTAGGCAAAATACCAATCTGATATACCACACCAGAATTCATACTGGAGAGAAACCATTTAAATGTGAACAATGTGATAAAAGTTTTAGGCAAAATATCAATCTGATATACCACACCAGAATACATACTGGAGAGAAACCATTTAAATGTGAACAATGTGATAAATGTTTCAGACTAAAAATTGGTTTGAAATGTCATATCAGAACTCATACTGGAGAGAGGCCTTATAAATGTGAACACTGTAAGAAATACTTCAAACAACGAACTGCTTTGAAAACACATATCAGAACTCATTCTTCAGAGAAACCCTTTAAATGTGATCATTGCGAGAAAAGTTTCAGGCAAAAAATCAATCTGATACACCATAAGAGAATTCACACTGGGGAGAAACCATTGAAATGTGAATATTGTGATAAATATTTCAGACGACAATTTGGTTTGAAATGTCATATCAGAACTCATACTGGAGAGAAACCTTATAAATGTGATCATTGTGAGAAATGTTTCACACAACATTCAACCCTGAGAGAGCATATCAGAATTCATTCAGGAAAGAAACAATTTAAATGTGAACAATGTGATAAATGTTTCAAGCAACTAAATTACTTGAGATCTCATATCAGAACTCATACTGGAGAGAAGCCTTTTAAATGCAAATATTGTGGGAAATGTTTTGTCAAACAAAGTAGTTTGAAAAATCATATCAGGATTCATACTGGAGAGAACCCTTTTAAATGTGAACATTGTGAGAAATCTTTCACAGTTAAACAAAATTTGAAACTCCATATGCTTATTCATACTGGAGAGAAACCATTTAAATGTGAACATTGTGAGAAATGTTTCTCACAGCAATCAAATTTGAAAACTCATATAATGACTCATACTGGAGAGAAGCCATTCAAATGTGAATATTGCGAGAAATGTTTTTCCAAATCAGCTTATTTGAAAAGGCATATCACAATTCATTCTGTACACAATCCATTTAAATGTGAACATTGTAAGAAATGTTTCCCAGGAGAAAAAAGCTTAATAGATCATGTACGAACACATACAGGTGAAAAGCCGTTCAAATGTGAACATTGCGGAAAAAACTTTTCACGAAAAATGAATTTTAATGCTCACTTACAGACTCACAATGAAGAAAAACGTTACAAATGTAAACATTGTGAATTGACTTTCTCTAGACCTTCGCATATGAAAGTTCATGTACAGACTCATACTGAAAATAAGCCATTTAAATGTGAACTGTGTGAAAAATCCTTTAAAAGTCCTGTAACATTAGCGCAACATTCTTATATTCATACAGAGTTCAAACCATTTAAATGTGGATATTGTGATGAATCTTTTAATCAAACAAATTATCTTAGAATACATTCTAAGGTATGCAAATCTAAGAAAGATAAATAAAATTTCAGATGTGAAATTTTGTCTTATAAGATACAAGGATATAATATAAGGATGGGAATGATATGATAAGGATAAAAACTATCAGTTCTTTAAATTTCCAATATTTTAGGAATAAATAATCCAAAATTTTATGATTTATGGTGCAATAAATTTAATTCTGTTCATTGTTAAAAGACAGAAATCACGTAGCAATTGAGGTCTTTGGCAAAGGCCAGAATAAAATCTGAGGTCATATATTTGTCATAAATCATAAAACCAATGTCTTTGTTACCATTCGAATATGATAAACAGACAAGAAAAACAACTTTTTACATTTATTAATTTTAGCGGTCATACATCAGTACATACTCAATATAGGTCAGTAAATCAATTGTTTTAGCTATTGTTACGTCACATATAATATTAGAATACACAATAAACTGTAACTTTTGATACTTTTAGAATATTCATAACTTTCATGTCATTCTGTCCTGTGTGTGAACATTTATTTATGACAAGGGAAAAGAAGTTTCCTAGTAAATTATTTTGTATTGGAGAACATGTAAATTTGCTAATTGGCCAATTTGTCCAAATAAGGCAGGTGGCAAATTGAGCCAAGTTTTAGGTATATGCATTTCTTTGGTGAGAGGTCATCAGACTGAAATGTTAACTATATTTTCACTGTTTTTTATGTCACCACCACAAGTGATAACATATTGTCAGATTGTTATAGTCTTAAATTATTTTGTGGGCTGTTGTTGCTGGATGGTCAGCATCTGTAACAAATGACAAGTGGTGACTTTTTACAAGTCATGCCTTGTTACTTAAATCAGGGGTTTCATAAGCAGGCAACAGGTGATTTTCACCAGTTGTTTTCACAAAATCAACTATTGTTTTTAGGGACTTTTCAACTTTTCCATGTTAAATTTATGATTTCCATTAATACAAGTAAATGCCTGTTGTTTTCCTTTAATTACCCTGTTGTGAAAAATTCCAGTGAAACCCCTGTAAATGTTGTTCGCAATTCTTGCAGTTTTATTGTTGTGCATTCAAAAAAGATTCATCAAATTAATGGATATGCAGAACCCATTGCAACCAGGTACTTGCGGCTTATCATGTTAATGTTTATGTGTATAATAATAAAATATACCTATTTAAGAATGCAAAAATATTGTTTTTGCTATCTCATTAAGATATTTGAAGGAATTGATTTGGTGCTGTTCTATGTACAGGGGGTGAGTTCCCAATGATGTTAATTCATTAATTATAATTCCCTCATAGAATTTTTCTAAAACTGCCCCCCCCCCCCATCAGCAGACTGAAAGCTGGCTATAGAGAGGCCAAACAGTCGTTTCTTAATTGCAATTATTACAAAATTGTTGTCACTATCAATTATTTACATTTGAAGATAAAATGTAAAAAATAAAATGAATGTTTTTGTGTCACTAAGAATCAATTCAGCGGCACTGTTGACTACATATTCCTATGATAAAAACGTACTCTTTAATAATTGGCACTGGAATTCTTATACCACAAAGAATTTTAGGAGATTTTATCTTCCATAGAACACAATTTTTGTCATAATTCAAATGAGCTAATGTTTTATGGAAATAGAGAGTTCTGTTCTAGAAGTAATTCCCAATATGGCTGTTGAACTTAATGAGCAGATTTAGCACTGCACGTCTTCAACACATGTATGCCTATAAAAAGTGATACTTTTTCAAGAATCTGAAAAGTTCAGGTTGATAATATATCAGTAAACATATCAGTTAGTCAAGGGGTTGAATTGTCTTCAATCAAATTATTATTTCTTTGTATTTCCAGTGCAGCTACACATCTAGTCCAGAAAGAATATATAGCAACTGTGAATTCTGAAAGATTGGATTTTTAATCCAAGGATTTTATCATTTAAAGACTCATTGATTGAAAGACACTAGCCTACTAAAAATATGGATCGTACAGCAATAGAGGATGATATGGAACTATCAAATGATGAACCAGTTATCAAAAAAGAAATTGAGGAGTCATTTGCTGAGGGGAATATTGCTATTAATGATGCCACCTGGCCCTATATAATCAAATATGATGATGTCAAACAAGAGGCAAACACAGATGACTATAATGAATCAGATGTTAAACCAGAATTAGATTATTCATGTGACAATATACAAGAGAATGATATTAAAAACAATGATTTGGACATTGACTCAGATTCTAATGTAAATGATGAAACAATTCAAACCAATATTTTTGATATTGAGAAGCCTAAGGAGAAACCATTTAAATGTGAACAATGTGATAAATGTTTCAACCAACAAAATGGCTTGAGATGTCATATCAGAACTCATACCAGAGAGAAGCCTCTTAATTGCAAATATTGTGGGAAATGCTTCAACAAACAATCATATTTGAAACTTCATATCAGAACTCACACCGGAGAGAAACCTTTCAAATGTGAATATTGTGAGAGGTCTTTCACAATGAAACAAAATTGTAAGATCCATACACTTCTCCATTCTGGAGAGAAACCTTTTGAATGCGAATATTGCAAGAAATGTTTTATAACAGCATCATATTTGAAAAGACATATAAAAATTCATACTGGACACAAGCCGTTTAAATGTGAACATTGTGAGAAGTGCTTCACACTTAAATCAACTTTGAAAAAGCATATCATGACTCATACTGTTGAGAAACCCTTCAAATGTGAACATTGTGAGAAATATTTCGCTCTAGAAAGATATTTGAAAGAACATATCAGGATTCATACTGGAGAGAAACCCTACAAATGTAAACAGTGTGAGAAATGTTTTATCAGCCAATACAAATTAAAACGACATTTCAGGATTCATACTGGAGAGAAACCATTCAAATGTGAACATTGTGGGAAATGTTTCACACGAAGTTATACTTTGAAAATCCATTTAAAAAAGAGGCATTCTGGAAAGAAACCTTTTAAATGTGAATATTGCGAGAAAAGTTTTTCCATAGCATCATATTTGAAAAGGCATATCAAAATTCATTCTGTACACAATCCATTTAAATGTGAACATTGTGAGAAATGTTTCCCAGGAGAAAAAAGCTTTATAGATCATGTACGAACACATACAGGTGAAAAGCCATTCAAATGTGAACATTGCGGAAAATACTTTTCACAAAAAAAGAATTTTAATGCTCACTTACAGACTCACAATCAAGAAAAATGTTACAAAGGTGAACATTGTGAAATTACTTTCTCCAGACCTTCACATATGAAAGTTGATGTTCAGACTCATACTGAAAATAAACCATTTAAATGTGAACATTGTGACATTTGCTTTAAAAGTCCCCTAACATTAGCACAACATTCTTATATCCATGCTGGGTTCAAACCATTTAAATGTGGATA